TAAGGATCATCCTAAAATGCTAGACAAGATGGGATTTGTTTTTTTGTCAAAAGTGAACTCAGAAACCCTAGAAGTGTTTTTAGTGTTAAAAGAATAAAAATCAAACGTTTGTTAAATCGAGTTTATAGTGACATGACATTTGTCGTTGCAGTTCTCGTTCTGTCCACAAGAGGGCAATAAAGCCCCACTCATGATTAAAGAGAAATTCAATTCAGGTTTATTAATACTGACGATGAATACACATTTAATCACTGTACACAACTTTATAATGTAATAATGTTAATAATTTAGTGTGGGGGCAAAGTGCTAATAAACTGATAATGAGTTTAAAACATTTTTACTTTGGTGAAATGCAACAACATGTATAGCTATCTCTAAAACCTAACCTAAGATTATATCAACAATATGAAATGTTATAATTATGAATAAATATTTGAGTAGTTACAAAAACTGCCCCCTGAATTTAAATTAAAAGTATTTGCGGTCAGTGACAGGGAATGTTCTGGTGAGATTTATTTTCATTTGACTTTTGAAAATACAAGAAAAAAGGCTATTAAGTAGTTAACACGGTGCTGTGTGATCAAAGAGACGATTAAATATTTATTTGTGAACTGATGTCACTGAAATAAAATCACCTTTAACTTGTCTTGGGTGGGAGCCTATAACTACGGTAAATTGAATATATTTACATCGATGTGCATCTTACATCTTGTATAAAGTACAAAGTAAAACAAACCACTGAAGAATATTCATTTAATTATAGATTGCAGCAAGTTTACAAAAACAATAGCAAGAAAATAAACAGTAACAAATAACCTCTAATGCTTTTATTTAATTATCCCCATTGTAATTTACTTTTTTGACAATTGCTCAGTTGGTTAGAAACAAAAACACATTTTGTTTTTTCCCTAATGGCAGGATGCTAGAACAGTGGTTCCGATGTGAAGATGTTACGAGGGCGTAACGATCTAAAACGACGCAGACCTGAGTCTTTTCTCTGGGTGCAGAAAACTCAACGTTTCCTTAACCATTTTATTTTACTTTATTTTTTAAACCAGCATGACACCAGCCCTGGTTTAGCACAGGAGCTTCTTTGGTAGACCAAACCACTAAGCTATTACACAAGTTTTTTCAAGCTCCTAGCAAAATAATGAGTAAATGGATTGTTTAGCAGAATTTGCAGTCCATGTTTTAAGAAATGCAACATCTCTTCTGTATTTGACAGCGCTGGTATACAAACGCTGTCAAATACAGAAGAGTAACGGAGATGCTGTGGAAGAAACCTGTAGGAGCCACTGTTCTAGTAAACCATCAGCCTGACTTATCACACACACACGTTCACATTAACCCAATAACCAAGATGGTAAACCATAAAGCTAAATTAGCGACTTTTATCCCCGTGAAAACAAAACAAACAAAAAAACTCACATCTTTGATCGTTATTGAGAGAAGTTTGCTTTTTAACAAAAAGAACATCATTAGCGTTGTGCTTCAATTCAATACAAACATTTTTTTCCAACAAACAACATAAATAATAAAGACTAATTTTTACTTTATGGCTAAAACACGAGGGGATATCTAGAAAAATATATATTCAAAAGCATTTACATTTAAAGTACATTAGCTGCATAGCAGTTTCAGAAACAAACTGTCTGCATCTGTGTTAAAAACATAAATGCAATGAACATTTTAGTACAAACGAGACAGATGCATGTCAGAAAAGGCACAACAGATTTGTCCAAAACAACCACATTTATCTACTGACCACTGCCGAGCACTTAAACTACACTTCAAGTGTTATGGCTTAATAATTCTAGTTGAAGTAGGATGTTTCAAATCACAAGGGTAGAATCATCCATCTGGTTGACAACGTCTTTTTGAAGCCACATCTGTGCCAGTGTTTAACAGAACAGCTGAGGAAGAATAAAAACAAAATGTAACTGAACAGCTACGACTCAAGTTTGCTAGAATTAAAACGAGCGTTTTCACGCTTGCGGAAAACTACTTCAGCTGCAAAATAATAAAAAAAAAAAAAAATTAAAAATAAATATGAGAACTTTTTTTTTTTTTTGTTGTTGCTAAAATCTCCTTCTTTTCCGTAAAATTAAGGATGACTGTAAAACTCAGCCACACACTTCAGATCTCTGTAAACACACGAATGAGGAAACTGTTAATAAAAAATAAAAAAAGAAAGTAATCGCCTCAGTATGTGCAGCGAAAACATTCTGGATCTGAGGGACGTTTTCACGAAGCGGTACATTCACACACTGAACACTGACATTTCTGGGTCGGACAGCACGAAGCCTTTTCGTCCTTAAAAAAAACAAGACAAAGACGATGTGACATGTACTGTACATTCAAACGGTGTGCGTGCATGAGTGACCGTGCACAGTATTCAGCATGTTAAGTGTTGGAAACGGTTTCACGATCTCTTTCAACCGCCTCTAACGTTTACATGAAGACATTTAACCCTTTTTTCCACCTGAGCAATATTCCCAAATTTAGGAACGGCTTCAAAAACAGGGACGCTAAACGAACGAGTCCAGGCTTAACGTTTAAGAATCTGAAGCGTCAAGAAAACAAGATATACGTTTGCTCAAGTATCAACACTGTCGCCTGAACTGATTTTAGAAACAACCCTGATAATTCTGCTCCCACTTCTCAATAATCAGTGACGAACTAAACGAGTCGTTTTCATCGAATCTGCCTGAAATGTTGAGATGAAAGAAGGTTCAACAATGAAATGCGGTGATTTTAAGAATGCACAATGAGCGTGGCGCTCTGGTCCCGGTGCAGGAGGTGGAACAGGTCAACAGCAAACGAAGGGGGCAGGTCACATTGTCGTCATCAGTACAGTCAGAAGGAAACACGACTACAATTGCACATGCAAATTTCAGAACAGCTAGCACAGAATAAATTAGATATATTTCTCTTAAAAGAAGCAACACTACTGCACTTATATTTTTGATAAAAGTCTTTCTGCCAACAAAAAGCAAATAAAATCATCACGAAACGGAAATATTCGCTCTTCTGTTTCACAAGTTGAAGAAAGCCAACCCTTTCTGTCAAGTCAGGTTTTCTTCAGGAATAGGTCGTTTAAAAAAAAAAAAAAAAAAAGGCTAACGCACATTACATTTAGTCAAGTTTACATCGTCTCCATCATAAAACAGCGGCTGCTTCAGGTTTTTAAAGTGAATATAAAATGTAACGGTGCCGACGCGTTTACTTTACAGTAAACGGAAACTCCAACCAGCAGCGAGGCGTTAAAAAAAAAAACAGGAGCTGAATTCTTTTAAGATACGAGACCCGCCCCAGTTTGTTGAGCCCCGACAAAACTCCACGACATAAACATGGTTTGTTGTTGTGCTGGGAGAAAAAATAAAAATAAAGAAATAAACAGAACAGTGTCTAACAGTTGAGTATTTTAAAGTGATATTAGGAATTAAACTGGTAATCGGGAAATAAAATGAAAGAGAAAAACATTCACAAGCCATAAAACTGGCGTCTTATTAAGATTTCTATAAAGTGTGAATTTATTCAAACTGGTCCTGAGGCCTCCATCTAGCTGCAGAACCACTTCAGGTTTGTAAAACTTGTACACGTAAAATTAATCCCATTTACTCGCTTCATTGTTTCCGGGTCCAGGGGTGCCCAGCAGTCACTGTGCGAGGGGCGGGGGACACCCTGGACAGGTCTCCAGTCCATCACTGGGACACATGAGACGAACAACCATTCAATCTCTCTCTCTCACCTAGGGGCAATTTAGAGTTACCAGTCAGCCTGACATGCATGTTTTTGGTCTGTGGGAGGAAACCGGAGTACACATGCACGGACAGAACATGCAAACTTCACCCAGAAAGGTCCCCGAGCCGGGATTCAATCCAGCAACCTTCTCGCTGAGAGGCGGCAGCTTTACCAACTGCGCCGCCCTCAGCCCAGTTCCTGCTGGTTATTATCATTATCCAGATGGGACGTGGGTTTTTAGTCGTTTCTTTTCCTCCTCAGTCTCATCTCATTTATAAAACTGATGAGGTGACGCTTTTCTAGCCGTTTATAAAACTTTAGTAACAAAGTGACACAAAAACACGCACTTATCTAACCCTCACAATAAAAAATGAATACATTAATATACATATACTCTACACACCATAGGAATAACGGTGCGTTATAATAACAATGCACGTTTCTCCGTTTAGCGGTTAAGTAATTTGATTGGCTTCTGGGAACTGATAGATGCAAGACGGTGCACATCTTCACGAAAAACGCTAAACTAACACGAATTCACTGGTTGGGATGATTTGATGACGCAGGATGAAAAACCGATCGTTTTGCTTGTCTGTTCGTTTACACAGTCTGTCATACCAACACAAACTAAAAACAATAATTTAATATGTATAAAACCATACTCCTCACTGTAAGCTATGCAGATGGGGAGGTGAAAAAATGAAAAGCACTTTCCTGTGTGAGGCTGTGCTGAAGGACTAATCAGATTTTATTAGTGACCCTCACACGTGTGTCCTGTAGTAAAACCTCATAATCCAAACATATCTGGAAAATACCGGCTTCAAAAAGGAAACAGTCCACGTCATCGACGTTATAAACATTTTTCTAGTTCTTATTTTCTCTGTTTCCTCTCTACACACTACGCACGATATTCAAACCACGCTGAATGATCCAACTTTAATCAACAAAACGACAAGTTCAGGAAACAGAAGCCACAAAAGTCTTATGGAGGACAAAGTAAAAAAAAAAAGGCACTTTAGCTACAATCTATTTACAGTTAGTAGTCTTTGAAGGGGAATGTAAAAATAAATAAAAATAAAATTGGGCTGAAATCCTTTTGTCTGATCAGACCTGCCTGGAGTCACCAGCATCAGTTTCAGTATGTTGAGTTAGTCGGACGTTAAGCTGCAGAGATGTTTGCTTTTCGTGGCCAACCTGCAAAGCCTTGACATCCCAATCCTAATTCCTGGTATATAATAATAATAATAACAATAATAATAATGTGTTGTCATCATTGTATGGGAACATACAATGGTGAAACTGGTTCCCTGCATTTAACCCATCCACACACAGGTGGAGCAGTGGGCAGCTATTGAAAGCGCCCGGGGAGAAATTGGAGATAGGGTGTGCTGCTCAGAGACACCACAGATGTGCAATGACTGGGGATCGAGCCTGGGACTTTCGGGTCCCGGGTCGGCTGCCCTGCCTCTACCCCACTTATCCGCATCTAGAAAATATCCAGTTTGTGCTTATTCTCATTAATGTTGAAAGGAACTCAGCAAAGCTCGTAGTGATTTGAATGTTAAGCTCTGCTTCACAGTTCTGTTTGTTTAAAGGAGCAGAAGAATTTCAAAAGATCAGACATGAGCACATTGTGATAACGCAGGTTGTTATGATGCTTGAGTAGGTTACAAATATTTCCCTGTGTATCATTTTTACAGTTAACGTTTGGACTGTTTTTTCCGAACATTACTATTATTACTCCACTTAGTTTCAATAAAAACAAATTTAAGAGCGTGAGCAAAGACTAGAATGAACGTGTCAGGTTGCTGCCCGTCTCCTGCAGGCTGACCAGTAGTAGGTCATCGATCTTTTCCATGTTCTGAGAGGACATGCTGCTCGCCACGGTCACTGACTGATTCATGGACTGGCTGAACAGGTTCTGGATGCGTGCCTCATTCTCTCTTTGGTTCTGACCAGACTGGCTGATTGCTATTATCTGATCCGATACCGTGTTTCCAGCAGTGGTCATCAGCTGGCCGCATTCTGCAGGAGGCGAGACAGAAAAGGCTAAAATGAGTTTTCAAACAAGGTGCACGTGATTTTAAGCAGGTACTGCACATGATCATGTAATGGTACTAAAGTTCAAATAAACAAGAACTACAGTATATGCTTGGATTAACTCTGAATTAACTGTGCTCTAGTCAGTCTGAACTTTAAAAAATGAATTAGGCATCAATTTAATGAGCTGTATGATTTACTGCTGCTCTGAAGGAAAATGTTAAAGCCATAATTGTTCTTTCAACCATAAATATCTCGAATAAAGGACATGTTTAAAAAAATAAAGATAGCTCAGAATTAGAAATGTACTTTAGGGATGCACGATATTATCGGCATGGTATCAGCCGATATTAGCGATAACGTTAAATATCGTCCATTCCATCAAAATAACTCACCAAAATAAAAGGCGCTGTTATATAT